AGTACTTAGTTATCTGCAGCCCATTTAACTAAATCTTCCACAAACATTTCCTAGTAAAACACAGCTTTTAACTCTTTTTTCCCCCCCCTCTCAGAGGAGCAACTTTCACATGGCTGGAAATTACAAGCACTGAGAGGGTCATAATGAACCAGGAGTAAAAAAACTCCAGGGAACAGACTTACAATCAACTCAGAAGGCATTATTTATTAAAGCATATCAAGTGAAGATATATAATTTGCAAATTCAATTATAACAGCTGACACCTGCCCTTTGCTGTGTTAACACTAAGGTACAAAATCCCTATCAGCCACTCTAATATTGGCATTTGGCAATTAGCATGTTTTTAAAATGCATCTAAATCTGAATCTGATCAGATTTATTGCAGGAATAGAAGAACTTCAATTTAATTTGCCTGCTTCTGGTGCAATGAAGTATTTACTGCCAGTCTTTGCTGTGCACAGATAAGATTATGAAGGATTTTGGAGGGGAAGTTAGCAGGGGCTGCTGGATAGGCACTTTATTACCTTAAAATTTAATGTATTTCTGACAAGATGCATGGAAATACCACACATTTTGTGGAACTAAGAACATCTGAGAAACGTGATGGCCAGGCTGTGGCACTGGGCTTTGCACACAGATGGGTAAATCATTACATCTCTATCAAGGAACGTGGCATTAAAAACTTCAGCAAAGGAGTGGGATGAAGGAGAGACAACAATGATTAATGTATGAACAGTGTCCACTCAACCATTGAGACAGTAATAAAGGTATTAATTTGACTGCAAACATTAAAATATGTACAGTAAGATGGATTTTTGAACAGTGCAGTGTGGCATAACCTTAATACAGTACATTAAAATCATTCATTACAATGAATAAATAGCTTAATGAGATTTGAAACATCCAGCACTCTCTGTGTAAGCAGGTGATGAAGTGAAGCCTGATATTGGCACCACTGAACATAAATTATGCAAAAGTAATACTTTTAATGTCATCTATTGTTAAATATTCCAGTGTACATCCTTCTGGGACAATATCAAATTAGTCTGTCCTGGAGTTTACAACAAATTCCCCTGCAACAGTCTGATTTGCATAAAAGTAAACAAAATAAAAATGTGCACATGCAGTGTGATTTCCTCCCCTTGGTTTGTTTTTGTAAGGAAGAGAATTCATCTTACCAGGGCTTGAACATCTCTTTGTTTTGTTGGTCTTTTTGTTGCTGGGGGTGTATTATTCCCTCAAAGTCAGTTGCCACATTAAACGTGGTATTCCATGGTAAACTGCAGGGGTATAAGATGAACTGCTGGAGCACTTTTTTCCCCCCTATTAATTTAAATAACTTATTAACAAATCAAGTCATTTGATTTAAATTACGCGCCTAACCATGTAATTAGTTAAATAAAACCACTTGAAGCACATTTTTCTTCCCATTTTAAACTGTGATGTTGGAGCTGTTCTATGCTAAAGCATAGAAAAGAAAAGCAATTACTCCAACAATGATTTTTTAAAAGGCTGGTACACAGGTTCTGTGCAGCACAGACAAGGCTGTGGGTTTTGTTTAATGATCACTTAATTCTTTACTGTGTACAGACAGAGCTCAGAGTTTTGGATTAATTTCAATAAATATAAAATCTTTATTCTAACTGTTCCAAAGCACTTGTTATTTACATTTGGAAGTGCAGGATTACTCATGCATAGCTGTCTGTCAATTAATCCAATATCACCCTGTGGATTTTCCCATTTGTAATTGGAAAAATAGAGCTTTCCTGGTTCTCTGCAGAAACAACAGCCATTTAACTACAGGTGGTGCTCACAGTGGCAGTGCACACGTTTCTTCAGTGTTTATATAGAAAATAAAACCCCTATTTCCTCTAGAGATAGTAAAGCATTTTGGGGGGTTATTTTCCTGTCTCTAGTATTAAAGTGAGGTTTTATCAATGACAGAAGGCAGAACTGCAGCAATGGGTGAAGGAGATGAACAATCTTCCCAGCATGGCATGGTTTAACCCCAGCCACAGCTCACACTCCCCTGGTGGGATGGGGGAGAGAATCCAGGGAGTAACAGCGAGAAAATCTGTGTGTTGAGATAAAATCCCTTCTCAGTGGTGCCTGAGAGTCACTGATCCCCTCTGCTGACTCCCCACAATTGCAGCAGCAGGGGCAAAGTGATGCTGGAGCAGAGCACTCAGCCAGGTCACCCCTGGGACAGGGTGGCAGGGGATGTGCTGGCACTCACACGGCCAGGCTGCATGAAATCCCACAGAAAAGCTGATGGATTACTGTGAACACTGCCTCCCAGAACTCCTCCATATTCAATGCAAAAGAGAAGGAATAAAGATTAACCGAGTGTATATTCCCTACGGTGTCCCAGACAACTTGGGTTTTTACCAAGTTCAAAATCCAGCAAGTTTTATCATAGGGCACCTATTCATCAGCTACAAAGTGGCCCAGAAAAACTTATCAGTGTTTCTTTCTCCAGTCACCCACGACTACCCTCCCAAGGCTCTTGGATTCTTAAGGTATTTACAACCAATTATTTACATCCCTTCTTAAGTGATTTCCTAGAAAAGATTCACACAAACATCTTAATCCCTCTGTATCTTCCAGGGACTTTCAGTTTTATGAAATGCTATTACACTCACCAGTCTCAGTGCTATAATGGTACCAGCAACCATCCAAATTCAAGGGGTTTGAAGTCAAAAGTGAAATACCACAGCTTTGACTGTCTGACTCAAGTGGAGAACTGACCTTGCCCAAGAGCAGGTGAGGGATTCGCTTTTGAGGCACAAACTGCAATCTAACATTGCACACTCCAAAAAACCATTGAATGTACAAATTCATATCAAGGAAAGGGGAAAAAAAAAAAACTTAAAAAATATGACTCAGCACCAGAAATTTCATTCCAGAAAGGTAATTTTGGGGTGAGATAAACCCACAGAGTCCAACCCTGCTGCAGAATAAATAAGTGTTTACTTTCATTCAGTGGAAGAGTAATCTCAACTACACCATAACAGCATTAACATCACCTAATTACTCATCAAATGCAGGAGCAAAGCTTGCTGACCCAACATCCTTCTTTTTTCTTGATGCTCAGTGTGTCCATATCTCTGCAGCACATGGCAAGACACAAAGGTGGCACAGCAGCTGTCACAACAGGGGCCGTGGGCTCGTGTTTGCAAAATACATCCCAACCTGATTACACGCTTCAGCAGCTATCACTTCTCAAAATTCAATAGAAATTAATTTCTCAACAATGAGGGCAATTAAAAGGTCTGAATACTATAAAGTAAGAATACCTGCTGACACACCAGCTCTGCCAATAAAGCTGTAAACAAAGCTGGAACACAAGGATATTAAAAGAAAGATATCAAACTTCCCTGCTCTGATTATGGGTCTGTTAATACAGTTAATGAAACAGTTACTGGTTTAATACAGCATTAACTCCAGCACAGCTTGTGGTACAGTAACTTACACATAGCAACTACATTCTGTCCTCTAATTAAAGGACTTAATGCAAAGTAAAAAAGAAAGCCTTCATTATATTTGTGGTAAAACATCATTGTTAAAAGGTTCCAAACAATCAATGCAATCAACAGTTCTGGAGCTTGTTGGAGGCCTTGTTTTCACCACTCAATATGAGCTGCTTCAACCTCCAGCCATGCTTGAAATCTGAGCAAAAAAATAATGGTCATCAAAAAAATATTCTGATAACTCACAGGACCAACTGCACTATTTATGAAGCAGGAATTTTCTGAGAGCAAGATCAAGCAAATATGGGTAGTCTGAAATACCTCAGGAAATTCAGGAATGCCATGATGATGCCTCAACAGAAATAACATGAGAAGCCTTCCATTAAGCTAACTTTAATCCATATTAAGCAGTTACCCTTTTAGGCCTCAGTAGCCAAAATTAAAAAGGAAAAGAAGAAAATTTTGTCAGAAGTGGGCTGAGACACAGCTCCAGGTGACCATCAGAATGAGCTGCTTTTTGGTGATAAATTCCCTGTGCCCTACCCACCCGTGTAAGTCAAATTCCTACTCCAAATCAGCAGTGCCTGGCTACTGTAACTCCTCTGGCAGGTACAATAAATACAGGTACCTGTATTTAAATACAGAGCACACAGCCATCTCCACAAAGGTGATGTATTCTCCCTTTTAAAATCCTCCCCAAAGCCCTGAGTGCTCATGCTGAACACCTTTTGGTTTGACACATTCCCTCAGTAGCTGCCTGAGGAACGCTCCCACCATAAGGTGACAAGAATAAAGGCAGGGTGACAAAGTGCCTTGCCTTGCCCCAGCAGCTGCTGCCAGCAGCTCCCAGGTGCTGAACACGCAGGTGCAGGTGTGCAGTGTGTGTGGCACCTTGGTGGCACACAGGGACAGCAGAGCAGCGGCTCCTGCTGCTCACAGTCAGGGACAGGAGCGGCTGAGCCACAACACAGCACAAACCAGGGGACTTCACACTGCCCTTCCAGAACTGCTTTAGTCAATGTTTGCAGGATAGCCAAGCTGCTGCTCCAGCAGCCTGCAGTCTGGGTGGGCTCTGGCCACACATTCCAGTCTTAAATCCAAAGAAACTGCGTGTCAGATGCAATGATTTGGGAGGAAAGAACCATGATGAGAATTCTTCTTGGAGAACTGAATAAACAAATTGAGGTGGTTTTGCTGAGCTCAAGCAGGCTCCTGGCACAGTCTGTCACATTTGACTCACAGTCCTGATGCCACCACAGCCCAACTCTTTATTTTTCAGTGGAGTTAACCCACAAGTTGATAATGGTATTACACCAGAGGAAGGAAACTCTGTGGTCACAAATGAGAAACTCAGACCCAAAGATCACTCTGGGAAGCATCAGGAAATAGGAGGCTTAAAATCCATCCATACAACCCATACATGTTTTTTGCAAGTTATGTAAGAGATCAGGCCTCTGACATTTCACCTTCTTGTTGCAAAGTGTCATAAAAAAATTAGATTTAAATTGCAGTCTAGGCTGGAAAAAAAATTGCCCAGTACCAAAAAAAAAAAACCAAAAAAACCCACAACAACTTCAGTGTCTAATCTAGAAAACACAACAGTCCACAGAACTGTTTGGGATGCAAGTTCATTTTCACATATGAAAGTGAAAGGGTCTCCCTGAAACTGGGCTCAACAGGCAAACGCAGATTCCACTTGCTAAAAATGGGTGCAATGAAAGAGGCAATCTTTTCCCCGAAGCCAACTGCAATTTTTCACTGTCTTTAATCTGGTTAAGTTCAAACCTGAAGCAGATTTTTCCCCTCTCTGGTACCAACACGTGCCTCAAGACGTTCAAGCAGCAGAAGTTGTGCACCAGGGACAGATTCTGCCCTGCCTCAGGCTTGGGGCCACCCAGCCCCAGGGTCTGCTCAATCCTGCCCCCATCCCTGTCACAAAGTCACTCCCCACAGGCTGGAGCCTTTATTCACCAGGTCCCACTCTGCAAACACATATTTAAGCAATAATTAGGTTTTTTAAGTCCTTATGCTTATACTTGTAGCTTTTTTTTCAGTCTGAGCAAGGCAACACCTCCAGGATCTCAGGCAATGCTGGAGACCTCAGTAAACAGGACTTGCTTCTAATAATATGCAAGAAAACAGTAAAATTGTAACAAACAGGTCTCATAAGAATAGCAGAGTCCTCTGAATAACAAAGTGATGTCAGTTGATAGCAATCATTTTTCTACTCCAGAAAAATTCCTCTGCAATTTAAATACCAGGAATACCTCTCTGCCCACAAAGATCATTCCACACCTGCTTTTTCTTTTCATTTCGTTCATCAGCTTTTCTATTTTTTTACTGAAACAGAGACAACTAATTAAGTGCTAATATCACAAGGAAGGACTGGGCAAGACCAAAAGCCTACCTTAATATTCCCTCAGAGAAAAAGACCTCTTCAGGTGATCAAATTGTGTGAAAATTTAAAAGAGAACTTCATATAAATTAAGAAACGTTGCCATTACAGATCAGAGAGCAGCCCTGGGAACAGATTTAGCTGCTGGTGAAATCACAGCATTGCTGAGACAAGACAATACACTGAACTCAATCATTTCCATATTTTGCATTGCAGAACCTACACATGAAATACTAAAATATGATTTTAAAACGACAACATTTCCTCTGGTCATGGAAAGGGTTTTTTTGGGTTTTTTTCAATCAGGTTTTTCCTGCTGCCTCAATGCTCCACTGTCAAATAAGGTATAAGAACGTTGAAGATTTTTTCCATTTGGTAAAACAATTTTCCTCTTATGCCCACCTATAACCCTTGCAGGTACCTTGTTATTTTTGACACTTCTACTTCTTGCCAGTAAAATGTGTACCAGGGCAGTGAAGCTGCCCAGCTGGTTGAAAAGTTCCTGGGAAGTCACTCAGGGAGAGACAAGGGGCACCCAAGCTTTGTCTCCTTAGAACAGGCTGAGAAGTTCTTGATGCAACAATGCCTACCCCGAACTGCCAGAATACAAAGAAAATAAAACTTGAATTATTTATTTTACAAAGTTTGTCTAGATTAGACAATGAACGTGAGCTTTAAAATCATTTCCTTTTATCTTCAGTATTTAGTGACCTCATCTGTGTATGAATTAACTAAAGTTCCCTTCCCAAGATCCTCCCTTGACTTAAGATACTCTGGTAACCTGTGCAGGAGGAGAGCTGAATCCATTTGGCTTTTATTTTTAATTAAACTTCCCTTAACTCCATCATTCTTTTCAATGGGATATAGACAAATCCATTTTTCCCTACTTATTGCTAAGTCTGAATAGATGTTTCATTAAAAAAAAAAAATAAAAATCATATAAACTGGTGTGGTTCTTGGGGCAGGGGTGAGACAGCAGCAGGTTCTTTACCTGGTTTTTCTAATGCCAAAAACCACAACACAAAAACAACCTGAAACAGAGCTGTGCCCACTCCATTTGCAGGCACAAACATTTAAATTGCCCCCACAGCCCAGCCTTACATACCTGGACATTTTGCACAAACTCAATTAAATGCTCCAGTGCCTTTCAATATTTTCCCACTTGTCAATATAAGGAGATGTGTGCACACAAAAACCTCTGCCTTTTAAGCAGCCTTTTTATCTGCTCCCATTACTTCAGTGGCAGTGCTGTGTTTTGTGACCTAGCAGCACAATGCTACAATAAATGGCAGTGATGAGCCACACTCTGCTCATTTCCATGTTCTGAGGATTTAAGGTTGGGTTTAGATGGGAATCTTACAGGTTTCCCCCCAGTCCTGAACAGAGAAAGACCCCTCTGGGGACTTCTCCTCTCTGAGATTTTTCCAAGGGGCTCATAACATCAAAATTACAAAAATCTCAAATCCAAAATTTCGTTTAGACTGTGGCATGCCAGCATTTTTCTTCCTTACCAAAACTAGTTCACAAATACCACAAATACTCTGAGTTGAGGTCTCTGACATTTCCCCCTCTGCCTTGTGCTTGTTAAAAGACAGATCTCTTCTGGCAGGACTCCTTTGGTTTTGCTTTTCTTCTCTTTTTTTCCTGAATTATTAAGTAAAATCTCTGCTACGGGCCCCACTGCATGCTTCATACAAACACGACTATTTGCACAGCGCTCGAAAGCTCCTTTTCCAGAAAAAGCGAAAAGGAACTAGGTGTGTAGAATGAGATTATTAAGGAAACATTTGTCTTTGAAGCACCTGAATCCCCAGTTTGCTGCTGTACTGTAACACAAGGCTCATTGCTTTCCCTCTGCCCACCACGCACAGCCTGTGTGGATACCAGGGGGACTAAAGTAAATTCTTTGTTACATCTGCACAAAGTAGTAAATGAAGCATGCAGCTCAAACCCCTCCTGCAGCGGCCAGATCCTCAGTGCTTTTCCTTTTGGAGTGGGAGATTTAATGCTATTTTCTTTTCCATATGCTTCATCTTTCAGCTTTAGCATAAAAAGGAAAGGGAAAATCTAAAGGCTTGGTTTTGCACTAACTGCTCCCTTCAGATTCTGAGACGTGTCTTGATGAAAGCTCAGTTGTGATGGAGGAAAAAAATCAAAAGAGGAAGAAATTTCACCCCATGAGATGATACTTAAAAGGGGGGGAAAAAAAGACCTTGGAAAAAAGTTCTTTATTGAGTAATTAGCCATAATCTTAGATAAGACAACAGATCAAACAAGTTCTCTTAAAAGAGGTGCTGTGGGAAAGAGAGAGAGGTTTTTGGCAAGGGTTTACAAATAACGCTAAAAAAAATTAAAAAGCAGAAACACTGGCAAACTTTTCCACCAAAATTAAAGCTAATCATGCAGTTGTGCCTGCTCCATTTCAAAACACAAAATGAGTCTGGGAAAACTCCAGAGAAAATAAGCTCTTCCCTCCCCTCCCTAAACACCAAGGCCAAGGAGGGCTCTGCTATGCCAGGATTCCCAGCCCTTACTGGGACCTGCATGTCCGAGCTGGACCCACAGCTGGAGCAGGGGGCTCGGATGGCCCAGAGCTGCTCCCCAGCTTCAACTTCACAGCACTTGGCTCTGCCTTCTCCCTCTGCTGACTCTTACCACCACGTTAAAACAAGCAAGACTTCAAATCCCAAATAATTAAGAATTCTATGTTTTCCCCATCATTGCAGGACCACTAATTTAGAAGAGATCAAATTACTAATTTGCATACCTCTGATCTCCACTGCCCTAACACCTGAGCCCACCTCACAAGTCTGATTTCCACAAATACCATCTATGAATTACCAGGATACTCCAACGGACATCAGGAGCAGGATGAGCTGTGTATAAACCTGTAGACCTGAATACATTATTAATTGAAAAAAAAAAAAAAAAAAAATCACATCCTAAACTTGACACCTTCTTTTTAATCCACATCCCTCCTTGGATGCATCCCTACTACATCTGAGTAATTCCCCAGTCCCAGAATAGTCACGCTCGATTCATGAGCTAACACTTACCAACTTGCCAGATGCTTTACCTCAGATGACAAGTTTTGTTTTATATATGCAATGAAGACTTAAATCAAAACCCAACTATAAATATTTTGATGAGACATTTTTTTGTCACATTTTGAAAACCTAATTAAAGGGCTCATTATGTGTGTGAGTGAGTGCTGTCTAAATAAAGCTGGTGCTTGCCCTGGGCTTGTTATAAACCCAAGCTAGAGCATCCACCCCTATTCCCAAACCCACACAGGGCTCAGTGCCCTTTCCAAAGGCTGGCCTGCAGTGTCCCTGATGGGTCTGGAATGGTTTTCCTTGACAAGGACTTTTCTCAGCCCACTGGATTAGGAGCAGCACATTCTCCAGTGGTGAAACAAGCAGAGGCTCCACACACAGTGGAAGGGATGGGGATATAGTGGGGAATTCAGCAAAATCACCTTTCCCCAAAAATTTAACTGGGCTTTTGAGCCAGATTACTGGCAGACTGTTCTAACTCTTTGTAGTCTTTTTATGGTGTAATTTTGTGATATTCTCAAACATCAAAAAGCATTTCAGACAAAAGAAATAACAACACATGCACTCACTTGGATGGCAGTGGGTTTCTTCCTAAAATAAATGTTTCTAAAAAGGCACTTTGCCAGCCATGAAAACAAAACATTACAGCTGTAATTTGTTTCTTCCTTTTTTTTTTAATAATAGATTTTTAAATCCTAACATCAAAAAGACTAAAAGCAAAACTACTATGTTTAAGGGCATGCCTGACCTCTTTTATAAAGGTTCTGCCCCTTGTACACAGGGTGCTATTAAGTTTCCAGAGGAGATTTGGAGTTTATGGCCAGGAGTCAGAGCCTGACCTTCTGGGCATGTGTTCAGAGTCACTCACCAGCAGTGACACCCCTGAGTGCCCTTCTCTTGTACAAAAGCACCGTGGTGCTGAGCAGGCAGTGACCCAGGCCACTGGGATCAACCCATGCTCTCAAGTATCAAACCAGAAAAGATGAATTTTGGAACATTTTTCCTTTAGATAGATCTTGATACACATTTTTTTAATTCTGTAGGTCTATTACATGACTAGTTTCAGTTGTTATTGAAATGCTTCTACCTATGGAAGAATTTCATCAATACTGTTTAGAGCAAATTAATTACTTTAATGTTAAAAATAGGAAATACAATGCAAGTTATGAAACAAAAACTTTTCAATCTGTATGATTAAATGGAATTAGAAATCCTAGGCCTTAGTCTAACTCCTGGAACACAGGAAAAGGATGAGCCAGGCCATGGACCAGTGGGACCAAAGCAGCCTTAGGTCACTCACTAATAACATAGCACATCTCTGTGGATGCAAGACAGGGTTGTGTCAGTGACTGGGTGTATAAAGCCTAAAAACAAACACACATCCACACAATTTGTAATAAACCAGGCTTCACACTACAGCAATATATTGTCACATTTTTTCAAGGTTTAATCTCACAAGTTTTACTTAAGGAGGCAAGGTGAGTCAGAACCCAGGAGTTATCACTTGACACACCTCGTAGCTTTTAATTGACCACACCTAACCTAAAGTTTAGATTTTCTAAGCTAAAAAGTTTCACAGCAAAGAGGATTTGGCCAGTTGGAGGTGCAGAGATTCTGTGTTGCAGAGTATCTTGTACATACAGCAACAGGCACAGAGCAGGGTTCTGTTCTGAGTTCCAGACCTGGCAACACCAGGGCTTGTTTTGGGCTTTGATTATTTTGTGCTCGCAGCATCCAAGCTGTGCATTTCTTCCAAGTGATGCACTAATAACATAACTGCTCTTTAATGGCATTTTTTTTATTATATAATTATGCCAGAAGCTTCATAGCCATGGAAAATATATGTTCACTGGCATTTAATTGCTTTATCATCATGACTATAATCAGAAATGAGGACCTTCCAGAACTGAGAGCCAGGAGAGGCTTTTACTCACTCGGTTCTACCTGTCACCATAATAAACACTCCCTGGAAATCTCCCCTGTGCTCTATGTTAAAGGATTATGTATCCAAGAGTCTTATTTATGTATTTTGAGTGGGTGGTTGCTTTTGTACAAAACTGTTTCCATTTCTCAGGATGAAGTGTACCGTGCAGAGGGACAAACAAATGCAAACGTGGCTTCTCCTACACAGCTGCTCATGGCAGCAGCTGGAGGGAAGCTGGGACACCCCAGGTACCAGAGGAGTGGTGTTACCTGTGCTACAGGTGTTTGTGCACCTTCCCAGCACAGAGGAGCTTCTCCCTGGAACACTGCTCCCATCCCAGGAGCAAAGTCTGTGCAAGTCAGTGGAAGAGTCAGGGGATATTCCTACTTCAGCAGAAAAAACAAAATCACCTGCAGTACTTATTTCCATAGTAAAACAGAGCCCCTAAAAAGAACAAAACCAAAAAACCCCTGACAATAATGCCCTAAAAGAGACACAATGTCTAAATTATGTATGGCCTGCTTAAATAGTAGCAAAGCTGTTTCCATTCAAATCCATAATACCAAAGAGCTCAGTTCTTGGGGTTAGATCCTATTTTATGAAGCTTTTGAGTATGAACTTGTCCTAGATGAGAAGACTGGGAGAACTCTTTTCAAGGCTATTTGAAGGTAAAAATTATTTTGCATGAAAGCAACAATTAATTAGCACTCAGCAAGGTTCCATCCACTCTATGCTGTGAAGTAAAAGCAGGTCACTTCTGCAGCCCCTCACACCTGTTACAGGTCACAGATCCTTACCTGAACACAGTATCTTATTTGCTGTTTCAGCACCTCAAGGTTAAAGCCTATTTTCCTTTCAAACATAATAGCAATTACATATTTTTTAGCATAACTGTATCAAGGGATGGAATCTGAGATGCTTCTGTTTGAGAGCTGAAAAAAAAATGTAATGACTGCTTACATCTTTTAAAAACTAAGTATTTGTGTTTGAACTCATGCTCCAGACCCCAAGACAGCTTTTGTTCCTCTTCATATCCTTTTTCCTAGAAGGATAATGTAACAGGAGGGCCACCACATGCACCCTTCTCTAAGCTCTAAAGATGAATTCTTCCCTGTCTGAGACAGGGGGCAATCTCCATTTGATTAGTTAGGACGGCTGGCTGGCAGCTTTAAATTATTTGTGTATCAGTATTGATGCTGTTCCACATTTAGTGTAAATGCAATTATCATTAGGGCACTCAGAGCTATCAACTGAGAGTACTTTGAGGAATGTCAATGCCTAAGCAGAAATAAATGCATGCACATGCACACAGGTGGACTCAGAATAAATTCTTGGGCTCTCTTCCCCTTCTTTGCCCATCACATTTCTCCTCTAGGATCTCTGCCCTCATTTTCTCACACTTCTTATAGTAAAATCTATTTAAGAAAAGTAACCCATGTAAGACAAGCTTAAAATTTCACCCCTCACCCTCCCTGGAGCTGTGATAGTTCTCATGAAGTTAAAAGGATGCTCTGCTGGAATGTCAGGCAAGGCTCCAGTCCCATTCCCACCAACATCCAGGAACCCTGCCTTCAAAACTAGGAAGGAACTCAACTCAGCCTGGGTCAACACCCCACTGCCAGGGGGTAACTACACGGAACAGGACTTGCAAGGCTGATGGATAAAAAGGCCTGGAAGGGAGAACTGGAACTCTCTGGATGCTGACCCTTGCTCCAGTCACAGCCCCAGCTTGGGCAAGAGCAAAGTGGAGATGCAGGGCCAGGACATCAAGCCATCATATGGAAAAAAAAAAAAGCTACCAAGCCAAAAAAAGCCAAGTGCAGGACACTGGCCTACCACACATCTCTGAAGTGATTTTGTGCAAGTCTCAGTTAAGACTCAGCTCAATCCAAGCTTGAGGAGGACAAAGAGCACTCAGGGCATTTCTCCCTGTCCCTGCTGACCAAGGGGAGCTCACCAAACCAACACTGGCTCCTGTCTAGCTTCTCATGGCAGGGACAGAGGAAATCAATCCCTCAGCCTGGGAAATGGGGCAAGAGCAGCTCCTGTTCCCCATGGAGCTGAGAGACCACGAAATCAGAGATGGATGGGCTGCAGAGCCTGAGATGGATCACTGAAGAAGGGCCAGCTCTCTCCAGAGCACAGAGGCACCACCAGGCTCCTTCCAAAAAAAGAAACTTCTTCCAAAGAAACAGACCAGCAAAGGCTGAAACTAGATCCCACAAGCTGGATTCCCAGGGCATGAACAACCTGGGTGGAAATGAAAAAACCAAAACATCGATAAAACAGACTTGAAGCCTCCTCACTCTGCTCTAATACTTGACTCATGGAAATGACAGCAGGCTGCAAAAAGATGATTTCCAGCTAGAAAGAAAAAAAAAAATCTCCCTGAAAAGCAAGAATTTAATAAAGCTAGAGTTTTTTTCACTGCACTATTAGTTAAAGATTTTTGAATACATAAATGAGAATTATTTGACTGACGGACTCTTTATCAATGCTATAATCAGCCTTCTATTGTTGGAGTAAGACATTTATTTCAACAGTAGAAACATTTATTTCAGCTGTAGAAATATAACCCTATTTATTTCCAATATGCAAAAGTAACCCTTGGTAGTATAAACTAATTTAAAGAGAAAGGCGATTTCTTATCTGCAGAAAGCAGCAACACCACCAGCAAAGGACAATGGTCTGCATTTTTATTAATGCAAACATTAACCTTCTATTGCCACACTTGGATTTCCAGTCTCAGAACAATATCATTATCTACAATGGAACTAAATTTATGGAAATCTAATTTTATCATACATTATTTAAGTATCAGGACATTTATCTATTAATCTCTCCTTTTACCTTCTTAGTGTTAATATTCCCAGCCTGCTTACAACTTTCAAGGGCAAGTCTGCTTCATCACCAGCTGTCATCATTAAAAAATCATTTCTTGTATTTATAAAGCAAATGTAAAGTAGTAAGCCATGTCACAAAAGCTAGACAGAGAACATACTTCTGCATACAGTCATGTGCTGATTCCTACTTGACTGAGCACGATCATATTTTTAGGTTCTATAATTAATAGCTAACAGCTTTAAAAGTCTCACTAAATATTCATTATTAGAGGAAAAAACTGAGAAGGTCTAATCCATTTTAAATGTCTCTGACAACTGCCATTAAAGCATGCTCGTGCAGCCTGTCACAGATATTTATATCCAGGCAGTGCTGGGATGGATTGCAGGAATCCACATCCTGTGTTGTTCTTCCTGGGTGAAGTATGAGCAGAGTAAGTGTCAAACGTTATAAAAACACCTTACACACTCGACTCCTCCCAAACACCACTTCTCTGTGTCCAGAGTGGCAGGGGTGCACCTTATGCAATGGCTTGAGTTGATTTCTGAGGGTCCCCCAAGGGCAAGGACACGTCCCCCTGTCCCCAGGTGCTCCAAGCCCTGCCCAGCCTGGCCGGGGACACTGCCAGGGATGCAGAGCTGTCACCCCTGGGTCATCACCTTGTGCCAGGGCCTCGGCACTCACACTAAAGAGTCTCCTCCTCACACCTGGTGTGTGAAGTACAAGTGCTGACCTTTCAGGCTGTGTCAGGCTTTTACTGCTGCCCATCAGGAGGAGTGCAGGGACAGCAAGGGAGCACAGAGCCACCACTTCATTTACTGCTGCTTGACCAGGAGGGACCCTGAGCTCAGGCAGAGCTGGCTCCATCACGAGCCTGAAGCTCACACAGCTGATTCTCTAAAAAGATGCTGCAAACATCAGTCCTGCCCCTTAACAATGAAGCCCATGCCTGCATTTTCATAACAATTAATACTTTTTCCCTGTTGCTTAATATAGGTTTCAAAATCTAAGGGTTTAAAAGTTCATTTTACAATTGACTGAGATGCTGCTTGGATCCAATAATAAGCTTTGCTTAACCTTGAAATTAGCCACTTTCAAGTCTGATGAGAAAGCATTATATATAAGCAACACATGATCTTCTTGGTATATATATATTTTTCAAGGATTACATTTTAATTTCATTCCTTTTCTCACGAAATGACTTGGAAGTTATACTACAAACCTCAGAGTGGGTACAGCTCCCATGAATGCAGGAGGCCCAGGGTCCTGGCACAAGCAGTTTAAGCAGCACGGAGAGCTCTTAAAATCAGCGTGTTTTCAGAAAGCCAAACTGCAATTTTTCAGACTGAAATGCACGACTGGCAGTAATCCATAATCCCAACACAGTGTCATGGGTGCCAAAGGGCCTCCAGTGAGTGCTGCTTTTGCATTTTAAAAAATGTTTTATGAGCTCAAGACCCCAGAATTAAGCATCTTTACTTCACAAGCAGCCCGCCATCTATTAATACTACAGCAAAACCAAGCCAAAGAAAAACAACCAGTCAAGCACAGAACAAAGGATCTCTAACCCATAAGAGCAAAGTCTCTTTATCCCCAAATCCTCCACTTTGAGTGCTTGAGTGTTAAAAGCTAAGAGCTTTCAGCTTCAAGCCCATTACCATTTGCTCTTTTTTTATCTGCACCAAATTGCTTTTGTTGCAAATCAACATTGGAAAAGGAGCAGGACAAACAGATGAGCTTCCCACGTGTACAGCTGATTCCTCACAAATGACCAGGTTTCCCATTAAGGGGACGGCAGAATTAAGCAATAAGGAGATATTTACAGGCCCAGCAAAAGATGGACTGTTTTATAGTGAATTAGGGCCCCAATCAATTTCCTAATTGCTAGACCACAGTGTTTACCAACCTGACTCCAGAATTACTTAATTCCCTGCTCCAAATAAGAACATTTGACAGCCTATTGGTTATTTAAATAAGCTGATGCAGCTCCATTTAGCGTAAGGACACGATTTTTTTGTTTATTTTCAAAGAATATGGAGGCATGGAGCTCCTTTCACACAGCTTTGTCACTGCCCTTCAGTCAGTTAAGCAAAGAGTAAAGCAAAAGGGCAAGGCTGGAGCAACCCAATCAAGAGTCTTCTCCAAATGCTGTCATTAAAAAAAATAAAATTAAAAAAAAAAAATCAAACATTAGTTTTTAAATAGAGTTTCTGCTGTGATCCTGAATGGAGAAATACAGAGCTGGTCACGGTCAGTATTTCATTAACATTTCTCAAGAACTGTGCTCTGGAACAACTTCTCCAGGTAAAATATGATTATTTATTATTTATTTTTTAATAAAGACTATTTTTTAAAATAAGGTTATAGATACAAAAATCAGAAAAATAAACAGTAACACCATATCACATTGTCTCCCAGATGGAAAATTCCCAGAGTGCTTTACAGACACTTTATGCATCTTTCTTCAAGCTCTGTAACCTTAGTATTTTTTGTAAAGAGATTCAAATCTCATCACAGGAGCTAAGCAAGTGAGTGAGGCTGAATTAGATCAATACTTCTCCCAAGACCCCTGAAAAGCAATGTCACAGCCTGCACCAGCAGCAGGTGCAGGACACCCCAAAACCCACCCAGCACCAGGAACACCCCAGCAGCGAGGGCTCCTAAAGCCCTTGGGCACCTCAGCACACTGAGAAGAGCCATGGAGATGAGTTTGGAGGAGCTCACAGACAGGGACATTGGTGCCAGCAGCAAGGACATCTCTGCAAACACAACCCTGGTGACATCCCTGCCCCACCGAGCTCATGGCATCAGCCGACCCTCCTCCCAGCCAGGGCTAACTCTCCCAATGCGAATGAAAATGCCCAGCCTGCAGTCACACAAAGCTTCGGGAGCTTTCCACAACAGCCCCGATGCTCCTCATCACCACCCAGTCACTCCTGTCCTGACACTGTTCACAGTGTCTGCAGTGACCAACCTCAGCCCTGTTGAGGGTCCCCCAGCACCACAGGAACGCTGGGCACGACCCCTCCCGGCTCACCCACCCGGGCAGCAACACCCACAACACCCGTGGGGCAGCTTGGGTTTGGCCACCCCCTGCCCCACTGAGCAGCAGTGCCAGGAGATGAGCTCAAGGTGCCACCCTGTGATCCCAGATCCTTGGAAAGGATCCTTGGAAAGGGACGGCAGCTGCTCAGGGCTCCTGGGGAACAGTTATTTCCCCACCCATGCTTTATTTTTTTCCAACTCTTCCAAAGCAAGACACAGCACATAAAAACCTGGAGTAATTAAAAAGCTAAAAATTCATGATAATTCCATTCCTCTAAGTGTTCTCTCAACTCCAGGTATCAAAACCTCAAAGAAACCTTACCTCTTGGAGTGACACCAGAAAAGATGCAATCCTACTGTAAGGTGACTGTATCAATTAGCTACCAATATTGAAAACTGAAACCTAACAAAGAAATGCACTCATTCCACCTTTAGCTCCTATTCTTGTGCCTTCCCTCTGCTGGTATTCAGGAGATCTCACAGCTGGATCAGAGTTCCTTTAGTCCAGAGACAACACACATTGCTGGGGGTTTGCTCTGTGCTCAGCAATGACACTCTAGGGTGCTATTTCAACACAGCCCTGTGTGAATTATTGCTACTTAACATCAGCATACTGAACCTGGAGCAGCTCGATTAAAATTCTGTGTGTGTTGCTGCCATTAAACCATCATTACCACCCATCCCTCCCACTGAGGTTAAGTGTCTGTCCTGCTCTACCTCAGGATCCCTCTGACATCCCATAATGACTCAGGCTGGGACATCACACAGCATGGTAATTTGGAAATGAAGGGAGAAGCATTTAAAAGCAAGGATAACCAAGAGCTAACAAAAATTACAGACTAAAAGTAAGATGAGTGAGAAGTATTGGTCCCAGAGCAGAATTTATGAGTAGTCCAGCAGCTGGCACATGAAGTTTCTGCCCATAATGATTTTTACTGTCCTAACTAAAATAAAACTAGAGAAATTAGAGGTAGGCAAGAATAATTAGGCCAAATGAACCTTTCCACACCACAACAGGATGCATTTAAACTGTTTAAAAAAAAACCCCAACATACAATAGCAATACCATTTACCCTGATCTCTGAGCACAGTTTAGTGAAAATTTAACTTCTCAGTATTATGATTTACATAGACATGAAGAACTTTAACTGTTCTCTCCATTCAGGGCTACATAATCAGAGGAACTTCAAATACAAAGAAAGCTCAAAATTTTAAGCAATTGATAATTCCACCAGTGAAAACAAAGGTGGAATTACACACAGCAAAACTCCATTA